TCCAGCGCCGTAGACCGAATACCGAAGGTCCAAGACCCACTTCCATGTCCTGACAGACTGTGTCGAGCCAGGTTTTTAGTTGGCCCCCTCTACGACGTTTCACATTAGGTAATGGTTGCAAGTCGAGGGCAGTAGCATTGAGCTCTTGAGGTTGACGACGAAGAATGTGTCCAAACCACCTCAGTCGTCTTTCTTGAATGTCCTGGAATATCCAAGACAGCGAGTGCGGACTGTCGCAGTTAAGACGAAGTCGGTGTTCCTCGCTCGAAGGATGGTCCTCAAGCAGTGGTCAAAAACTTCCAGCTTCCGTTGATCTTCCACACGCGTAACCCAACATCCGCATCTGTATAGCCAGGTATCTGCAAGTTTGTTCCCTTGACAAGGCCATTACAGAATTCGAAACGCCGGTAACCATATTGTGCCCTACACCTTATGACGGTGAATAATCCTTTAAGATGATTTTTCTTCCTGAACGGGAAGGCAGTGGCAATGAGGCGAGGGCTTAGTCATATCACCTACCGATTAGGATTCAGAATGACCGAACATGACTGTTCGTCCCTCTGTGTGTTTCCAAAAGCGGTGGCTATTTGGTTGGCCCTACTGAGAGGCCTGCTGCAAATCAGATATATTCTCGGGTCTGATTAAGAATCAGTCCCTGGTCATGCAGTATTTTTGTAAGTAGGTCAATTTAAGGTTGAATTAAACGGTTGTAACTGTTTGTTTGTGTAATATGGACACAGAACAGTTCGCGAATCGTTTCATATCCTTGAGCTTGACATAACCACCCAACTCGGAAGAGTTTAACTGATATGCCTCTAACTGAATCAGTGATGGAAGCACCCGAGGTCCTCGCTTATGGCCACCGAAGAGCATTTCACACCAGTCTATCCATTCTTTTTTGCCCTTTTCATCCTTCTCCGCAGCCATCTTATTACACAGTCTGTTATATTTCATATTTTCCCGCCTTAAGGATACTATCACAGATACGTCAGAATCCACTGATGCTGCTGCTACTGCTGCCGGGGCTAATGGTGATCATCCTACAGCTGCTCTTGTCCCGCCCATCAGCACACCTTCGGAAATTCATCCCGAGCCATGTGACTCTTCCAATCACAGCGTCCTCATAATCGATGATGAGGACGACGACGAGGAGGATGAGAAGAGGCCAACTACTGTTTCTGACGATGGCAGTAGCAGCGACAGTGGTGGGTGTGAAATAATCAGTGTGGATTCTGATGAGGAGGATGACGGAGAAAGGCGATGGCGCAGCGTAAGCGGTTAGTCACTTTTCAGTATTTCAGTATTTGATGACCCTATTTTGGAGGCAAGGTACGGCGATATGAGTCCCTGCTTTGGGGGTTAAGTGTTGCACCACCATTCCTTTGGAGGGTTTCGAAGGGTTTGGCTTTTGGTTTCTGGAATCACAATCTTCATCCACGACGGCCTTACCCTTTTGAAACCAGTTTGTGGTATCAAAACCCTCCTTCTACTACTGCCTCTTGAGAATATAACTCATAATTTTTTTCTTACCGGTTCGAATTCTTCCGTTTTCAGACCGGTAACTAACTGAAGACCGCATATACATAAGTACCACGCCTGTCGGTAGAAGCCTGCATTTTAGTGAGATTCTTGAGTATCATCTTGTGGACGTGGCTTAAGGAATTCTTTTGAAATTTTGCGTAAAGTTTGCATCATCATTGAGAAAAAGGGGGGAGAAGAACAGCAATATGAGAACACATCGTTAGCCTTCGTGAAAAGTGGTCTTTAATTTTGTGAAGTGGTCTCAAACTGAGTAAACCCTACCTATGTGGGGGCAAAGGATTTCTGACCGAAAGCCATTGTTCTGGGCGAAGCAATAAATACCGGCTTTTACCTTTGGCTGTTGTATCAACCTTGAAATCTGTTTTCTGCATTCTCAAACTGCCGACTTGTCTCTGATTTAGACCTATTCAATCTAAGTGTTTTCATCTAGTAGGAATTGCTTTTTTTATGCAGGTCAGTGTAGAGCGCCGGTCTCTGACATCTTTGCCCGTTCATGTGCGTATTTCAAGGACACTGGATTCCGTAGGTACTTCTGTTCAAGGAAAACCAGCGGAGTTAAATGCTTTCATGCCACGATACGCGTTAAAGGCTTAATCCTCAGGTATGCTATGTTTACTAGCACAGCGTGGAAGATCAGTTAGTTCATACTGCCAGTCGTCTCTTGGTGCACGTCTGCCGACTGTGGTTTTTCATCGAACGCCGTAGCCTCTGAGTAAATGTCACTAGACTGGTGCTGTCGGATATTTTCCCAGCCAACCATTGCGCAAGTTTGGCGTCTTTATTCGGAGACATCACTGCTTTTGCCTATAAAAAATGAGCATTCGGCTCGTATAAAATTGCTTACTGTTTGGAGAAGCCTTTGAAAAAGTTTGTCATAGTCAGAGACCATCTGTTTAGCCAATTGTATTTAGCCAGTCTCTATAGAGTCCCGTTTGATCATGCAATTCCGTTTGCTAGAAATAGCACCAGTTCTAGCAATCGCGGAAAAATTACCTCCTTGATCTCATATAAGACTGGATCTTTGCGATACCTGACTGTAAAATTAATCACCTAACACGGCAACATAAAAGTATTTTAAGCTGCGTTTCGTTCTAGATTCAATGCCAGTTCTGCACTGCAAAATGTTTGCATCCGTCATGCCTATTTAAATTATACGCAAACCTACGTTAGAACTGCCAACTTCTCGATTTGTTTTGAAGTTTTATTGCGTTTTATAGTTTGCAAGATAAACACGAGGCCCATATTCTGACAGATGCTAACTACTAATAACGGCAGCCGAACAAAATTGCAGTTTTCTTATTCCCCTTAACATAATATCGGATAAATTTTGAAGTCCATCTTCTTTCGACCTAATGATTAGAACTTGGGCTTCGAGACTTGATTAGCCTGGTCCGTATTTATCACGCGCGGAGGGCTTTTGGCTTTGCCATCGAGGGTATTAAAAGTGACTCTCGTTTTTTATTGTAAACGTGGACACCCTCACCTTTCCAAAACTATTGAGGAATCCGATCATGAGGAGGCCCGACATACCG